GGAAGAGGCAGTTCAAAGAAAGAGAGCTCTCCAAAGCTCTCCTTAAGGGAACTCTATATGAAACAGAAGGTGGGAAAGTTCAAGTCTAAGGGTGCTCCTGAAAACAACAGGTCCTCTAAATTAAGAGTAACAAGTTAGCCCTGGCCGGTTTGGCCCAGCGGTTGGAGCGTCGGCCTGCGGTCCGGAGACCCGGGTTCGGTTCCCGCTAAGGGCACGTACTTCGGTTGCAGTTTGTCCCCAGCCCTGGTTGGTCGTGTGGGTGGCAGCCACTCGATGTGTCCCTTCACGTCGATGTTTCTCTCACTCTCACTCTCTCTCTCTTCCTCTCTCTCCCTCCCACTCTATCTGTACAAAAAATGGAAAAATATCTTTGGGTGAGAATAAAAAAAAAAAAGAGTAACAAGTTAAACCAGGGCCAGCTTGTTCACATAGGAAGTAGACAACTAAGAGCCCTTCTGGGGTCAGAAGCCTCAAAAACTACCACTGCTCCAATTTAATTTGGATTATACCGCTGAACAATTTGTGCCCTAGGGCACTGTCAAAAACAGAACAATCAGGTAGTAATTACAGAGTCTAAAGGCTGGGTATAATATGTGGCTGTGAACTAACAGAGATCAAAGTAAGAGGAAGTAGGCCTCACTAAAACAGCCTAGCTGAGGCACAAAACAAATGAGCAAAAAAACACAACAAAAACAAGCTTGGAAATGGGGAGGGTAGAGCTTATGTACAAGTAGCACTACATTAACCAGAATGTAGTTTTTCTCCCTCTTTCTTTTTGTCAAATGCCTTTTCTGCATCGAGTATGATCATGTGGTCTTCTTTAGATTGCTAACATGGTGAATTATATTGATTAATTTAAAAAAAAAAAAGAATCATCCTTGCATTCCTGGGATAAAACCCGTTTTTGTGACATTATGTATTACTGCATTTGACTTGACATTATGAAGGATATTGGTCTGTAGTTTTCTTGGACTGTCTTTGTCTGATTTTGATATAACGGTAATGCTTGCCTCGTAAAATGAGTTGCAGAGTTCTCTCCTCTGCTTTTCTGAAAAAAGAATGTGTATGACTGATGTTATCTTCAAATGTTTTCATTTGATTGTAAAATTATTTCGGCCTGGACATTTCCTTTTAGGAAGGTTTATAACTAGGAATTCAATTTCTTCCTTTCTTTTGTTCAAATCCTCACCTCAGGATCTCAGGATACTTTTTTCCATTTATCTTGAGAGAGAGAGAGAAACAGTGACATCAGAGAGACACATCAATTGGCTGCCTCCCACGCGACCCCAGCCAGGGCCTGGGACTGAACTGCAATGGAAGTATGTGCCCTTGACCAGAATCAAACCCACGACTCTTTGGTTCACAGGCTGACACCCTACCAGTGAGCCACACTGGTCAGGGTGGGATTCAATTTCTTTAACAGATTCAGAACCATTAAAGTTATCTTTTCATGTTGGGTGAGTTTTAGCAGTTCTTGGTTTTTAAGGAATTGGTCCATTTTACCTAAGTTGCCAGAGTTGTTCATAGTATTTCCTTATCCTCTTACTGTCTTTGGGGTCTGTAGTGATGCATGCTTTCATTCCTGATATTGCTGACTTATGCCTTCTCTCTCTCTCTCTTTTTTGTCAGTCATGCTACAAGTGATCAATTTTCAATTTTTTAAAGAATCAGCTTTTGGCCCTGGCTCAGTGGTTGGCACATCAGCCTTAAGTGTTGCAGGTGTGATTCCCAGTCAGGGGCACGTACCTGGGTTGCAGGTTGATCTCCAGCCCTGGTCGGGGTTGTGCAGGAAGCAACCAATTGATGTGTCTCTCTCACATCGATGTTTCTCTCCCTCCCACTCTCTCTGAAAATCAATGGAAAAATATCCTTGGGTGAAGATTAACAACAAAAAAGAATCTGCTTTGAATTCATTATCTATTTTACTGTTTTCAATCTCACTGAGTTCTTTATCATCACCTTCCTTCTGCTCAGGTTCGTATTTTGCTCTTTTCCACCTTGTTAATCTTCACCTGAGGGTATATATTTTACTTTTCTTTTTTAATATGTTTTTGTTGATTTTTTTTAGACAGAGAGAGGAAGGGAGAGATAGAAACGCTGATGTGAGAGAGAAACATCAATTGGCTGCCTCCTACATGCCCCTCACTGGGGATTGAGTCCTCAACCTGGGCATGTGCCCCAAATGGGAACCAAACTGGGACCGCTCAGTCCATGGGATGACCTCAATCCACTGAGCTACACTAGCCAGGCTTCTTCTACTTTCTTAAGGTGGAAGCCTAAAAGTCCTTCTTATTTCCTAACATAGTTACTTAATTTCCCACTCAGCACTACTTTAGGTGGATCTCAGACGTTTGGAGGATAGGCATTTGGTAGACTCCTCGGAACATCTATGGCACAGGATGTGGAGATGGTCTCAGATGGAAGATGAAGGAAGAAAATACAATTCCCTCTGGGGCTGCACCCTCTCTCTTAGTTCTGATGGAGGTACTCCCCAGGTGGCATCTATCATTCAGCCACATGACTTAAACCTGTCCTGTCTTGCCACCAGGATAGACTGTTTGCTGAGCTCCACCTCTGCTGACTGGGCATCTCTACACAGCTGGCTATCAGAGTCTCCCCTACATATTTCTAGAAATGAACATATAACCTACATCAGATTTATCATTTTAATCACATAGGTCAATTGATTGTGACATATAGTTGTTTACCACCACAAGCAAGGTATAGAAAACATTTTCCATCACCCCCCAAATTACACTTATGCCCCTTTGCAATCACTCCCCCCTCATCTCCAGGCAACCACTGATGAAACTTGTCCCCATGACACTCAGTTTTCCAGAATGTCATGTGACTGGAATCACAGATTATGTAGCCTTTTGTGTTTGGCACCTTTCACTTAGCATAATGCTTTTGGGGGGCAGCCAGTGTTGTACGGAGAAGTTGTTCGTTCCACTTAAGTGCTAAGTAGTATTCCAGTGTAGTCTGGTTACCCAGCTGGTGGACACTGTGGTTATATTCTGTTTTGACTATTATGAATAAAAGTGCTATTAACATTTGTGTCTGGGTTTTTCCTTCTAGAAGTTTTACAGTTTTAGCTTTTGTGGGTCTATCTCATTCTACTTATTTATACATTTATAGTTGTGCTAACGTCACTCAGCATTGGTTACTACAGCTTTATAGTAAGTTTTGAAATCAGATGATGTGAGTCTCCCAATGTTGTTCTCCTTTGGAAAAAAAAAAAAGCTTGGCTATTCTTCGTCCTTTGCCTTTTCATATAAATTCTAAAGTCAGCTTCCCAACACCTGCATAGATGTCTGCTGGGATTTAAGGCAGAATAAAGGAAGACAAAAATGTGGGGTCATTTCCTTTGATCAGGAAAGTTCAAGGTCTAGAACAAGGGGATGGTGGTAACATGATAGCCTGTGGGAAAGCACCCTGACCCTCTTTGGAACTTGTGTACCCAATTAAGAAAGAGGCATTGGGGAATGGAGAACACCCACACAGAGATGTCACTGAGATCAATAGAAAATGTCTCCCAACAGCAATGCTATGTGATTTCTAGTCTCTTCATTCCCAAACACTCTTCAGGCAAAGCAAAGCTTCAGCAAACAGACAACCCAAGAGGGAAAGAACCTGGCCCCCAGCTCAGGGATGGCTTCAGTCCAGACTTTTCTTTGCTCCTAATACCTTAAGAGTGTGAAGGGAAGTACTTAACAGAGTCTGAGAAACCCAGCACTGCCTGCTGGTACACACATCTTGGCTCTCAGGAGGTAGCACATGTTTTGAGGCACCCAGAGCCTCTGCCCGACCAGGATGGCCTTTTTAGAGGCCACATATTTGCTGGCCCTCGAATTAGGCTCTGGCCTTCCCGGGGCCAAAACGTCACTGCCAGGATGGGAACTGCAGGTTCTCATCTCCAACCGCGGACAGTTTCTGATTTACCTACGCAGACAGGAGCTGTCTGGTCTCGCAAAACCAAACCCTGTAAACAAGACTGCTGCCAGGCAACTGGGCACAGGGACGTGAATAAAGACGCCCTGTGAGGAATGAAAAACAAAGCTGCTCTCGGAACCCCAGCAGTGGTATCTGGAAAACGGGTTCAAGACCAACTTTACAACATTTTACTTTCTGTTTCCGCTCATTTCCCTTTTGGCACAAGAGCAGCGCCCTCGGATTCATGAGCTAAGTCCTGATGTTTACCGAATAGCTGCCGACCACACAACTAGAAACTCATTTGGGGAGCCAGAGAAGTCTACCTGGACACAACTTTCACTAACGAAACTGGGTGCCGTCCAAAGGACAGACACACCTCCGCGGCTGTCTAACAGTTTGCAAAAGCCCAAGAAAGAGAGGCCCTCCCTCCCTCTCCAACCCAGGGAAACTTGGCGCGGGCAGGAGCGGGCGGGGAGAGAGACTTGGACGCTTTTCCTCCTTTGGGCCCCTGACCCCACACCGGCGGCCGAGGCGGGGGCCTGCCCCAGCCACCCCGGGGGCGCGTCCCCCCTCACCGGGCTCCAGCAGATAAGCGCGTCGGTGTCCGGGTCGCTCACGAGGGTCCACAGCTTAGTCAGGAAGGCCGGGACGTTGCTGGGCCCAGCAGCGCCGGGGCCCACGGACAGATCCATACCGGGCAAGGCGAGGAGAGGCGGAAGTAGCGAATGCAAAGAGAGGTCGGGGCCGGGCTAGCGCCGCCGCCGTGTCTGTAGGCCCGGCCGCGCCGCCGCCGCCGCCCGCTGCGCACACACGGACCCGGGGCCTAGCATGGCCGCCGCCATCTTGCGACGGGCGCCCTCACGCCGGCGCCGCCTTTCTACGTCCACGCGGCGCGCGCACGCCGGCCGCACCCTGGTCTCTAGCTCTAGGCCCCGCCCCGGACGCCGCGCGCTTGCGCATCCTGATTTTGTTGCATTTCACCAATCAGACCGCGTGGGGCGGGCTGGCTGCACCCTCTGACCCCGCGGACCCCGCCCTCAGGCCCACGCGACCGGGTCGCTGCCGGAAGTGGTGCTGTGGGTCGGGACCCGCTGGAGAGCATGGATGGCGCGCAGAGCACGGTGTGCGCTACCGCGGGAGCGCGGTCCGGGAAGCGGCTGCTGGGGCCGGAACAGGAGGAGGTGACAGTGGGCTGCGCGGCATGGGAGCGGGAGGGGGCGCCGGGGCCGGGGCCGCGGCGCGGGTCCCACGTGGTGGTTGGGGGCGTGGAGCCGAGCTCCGTGTGCGGGCCGCGGGCTCTTGGCGAGCTGGCGGAGAGTGGGGGGCGGGGGCTGGGAATGTGAGCAGAAGTTGGTTTCCTTTCCTGTGCAGGAGGTGGCCCGGGGGGGCTTCCTAGGCAGAGAACACCTCTTGCTCAAAGAGCGGCTGGAGTGGGAGTGGGAGTGGGAGGGGACAGGTGTGTGGGTTCGAAGAATGTCTGAGCAGCACAGATATAGGAACGGGAGCTGGTCCCCTGTGCTGCAGCCTTTTAAACCCTTTGAATTATGCCGCTCACCATTAAGAGAATTTTAGGTTATACCCGCAGTACAGTATATATTTATACGCCACTTATGTGTTAGGTACACTGTAAAAATAGAAGAGGCTATGAGAATAAGGAAGCGTGAACAGAATCAAGTGCCCGCCGCATCGGACACATCATTTTAACTGGACTCATGGCCACTAATACTGTCCAGCTGAACCCTAGCCCAGTTGTAGCACTGTCATCAAATCTGGGTTATATGAGGCATGGGCAGTGGAGCCTCTCAGTCGATTCCACTCAGCTGGATTGTCAGGCTGCCCTTCACTTTGTGACATGTCCTCCTGCTGCTCCTCCACCAGCCGACAGCCTTGGGCGCCTTGCTTGGCTGCTTGCACTGCTTGGCTGTGCTCCTACCAGACCACTGATGCCATTTTTACTTACTGCTGTAATTGTACAGCTAACTAAATATTGCAGATAAACAGCTTGAATGAGTATGTATCAGAATTGCTTCTATGAAAACTAAGTTGAGTGCTGTGGAATAACTGTTAACTGCAGGCTGTCCAGTTAGGTGAGAGACTTGTAAATACTGAAAAACAGTAAAATCTAGGATTCTGCACGCAGATGCTTCTTAAATATCTGTAAGTTCTTGTTCCACTTTTTTAATTTTTATTCTCACCCGAGGACATTTATGCATTTATCCTGAGATAGAGCAGGAGGAAGAGAGGGAGGAAGAGAGAGAAACATCGATGTGAGACACATCGAGTGGTTGCCACCCACAGGACCCCCACCGGGGCGGGGGACAAACTGTAACCGAGGTTCGTGCCCTTAGCGGGAACCGTACCCAGGCCTCTCTGGTCCTTGGGCCGACACTCCAACCGCTGAGCCAAACCAGCTGTTCCACTTGTTTTTAAAAGAAGAATTTTTAAAATTGACTTTATTTAGAGAGTGGAAGGGAGAGAGAGAGAGAGAGACATCCATCAGCTGCCTCTTGTACATTCCTAGACCTGGGACCAAACCCACAACCTGAGCATGTGCCCTGACCAGGAATTTAACCTGCCACCTTTCAGTGCATGGGATGACGCCCAACCAACTGAGCCACACTGGCCAGGGGCACTTTAAAAAAAAAAATTTTTTTTTTCATCGATTTTAGAGAAGAAGGGAGAGGGAGAAACATCAATGAGAGAGAACATCAATTGGCCGCCTCCTGCATGCCTCCCACTGGGGATCGGGCCCACAACCTGGGCAGGTGTCCTGACCAGGAATCGAACCGGTGACCTCTTGGTGCATGGGTAGATGCTCAAACACTGAGCCACACCAGCCGGGTTCTACCTTTTTTTTTTTGATTAAAAAATTTTTACGTGATTTTACTGGTTTTTTTGTTTTTTAGAGAGAAAGGGAGAGATAGAAACATCAATAGGCTGCTTCCTGTACACCCCCTACCGGGGATTGAGCCCGCAAACTGGGCATGTGCTGTGACTGGGAATCATACAGGGACATGACAGTCCATGGGACGATGCTCGATCCTGATGCTCGTTCCACTGAGCTACCCTGGCCGGGCTCTGGTTTCATTTTTAAAGGCAATGACAGGACCCACTCACCATGCCAATCATGTCCTATAGAGTTAGGGGTGAGATGTTGTCCGCTCAGAAAAAGTTCTGGTCTTACTGCGTCAGGGGTTGACTGGGTAATACTGTTTTTAAATCAAACTTCATTTTTATCATTCTTTTACTAAACTTTGTACCCAATGCCTGTCCCAGCCTGGTTGGGTGTGGAGGCTATTCAGGTGGAAGGAGCTCCTTAGGAGTTCTGCTCCTTTGCTGGCCCCAGCCCCTGCCCTAGTGCCCTCAAAACTCTGGGGCCTCGGATGCCAGGGTGGATGTGGAGGGTGGAGAGCAGATGGGAACTGGCTCTAAGACGGGAACATTTGTTTTTCAAAGTCCTTCCCTTGTGAGATGCTAGGACTTTGGTGTTCCTTCCAAGGGCAGGTGGTCATGCTTTCAGCAGAGGTAGTTGGGGAGGGAGGCCTGGGTGGTGACTGGTTGTGGTGGAGGTAGAGGCTTGTGACCTGAGGGCTGTGGCCTTGGAGGCTGGCCACACAGAGCCGCGGTCAGTGTGTGGCCTAGTGGTCAGGCTGTGGGGTCTGTCGCCATTAACACTATTCTTCTTGCAGCCCTCTCTTCTCTGGGCCCCTGCTCCCAGCCTTGGGGATGGCAGTGATTCTGGCCTCTCCGACAGTGAAGAGAGTGTATTCTCAGGCCTGGAAGATTCCGGCAGTGACAGCAGTGAGGACTCCACTGAGGGACAGGATGGGGCCGGCAGTGATGAGGGCCACAGCAGGACAGAGAAGACCACTGGGCAGCAGGTGGGTGACTGAGGACCCCTTTATCAATAAAATTGGCCAGAAAAGAAAGAGCCTTTCAGACTCTCTGGGTGGGCAGTGGGGGGTGTCCCTGCACTGCTTGCTCCAAGTTTCCTTAGGAACCCCCAGGCCTTTGTCCCTCCTCTGGTGCACCTAGAACACATCTGGGATTAGGAGGAATACTGGTTTGAAGTGGGAGTGTTCTCCAGGGGTTCAGCCCATGTTGCTAGACTCAGTCATAGGCTGGGTTTCTTAGGGGCAAATCCTGAGATGGGGATTCGCAGGCAAGGGACACATGGGGGAGGCAGAACACCCCACCTGACCCCAGGGGACACCTGTTCTGTGATGATGGGGAAGGGTGCACCCCACTCTTGTCTTAGGAAAAAAAGAAAAAAAGCTTAATTCAACTGAAATACAACATTTGTTAGTTAGGAGGTTCTAGAAACAAGTTAATAACTGTTTACACTGGCCTTGTGTTGTGGAAGTGAAGACCTTGGCTTGTACAGAATTCTGCTTCCATAAGGGAAACAAGAAAGCCATGCTGGTAAGATGTGTCTTCTTAAGAAGAAAAGGTTTAAAGTCAGACTTAGACCTACCTCTCAACACTGGGCACATAGAGATGATGCCTTAACTGTTGACCCTGGTTTATAGGATTATAGGCAACTGTTTTTCCTTCTCTTACTAGTTTTTAAAAATTATGAAATACACCCTCCTTGACAAAAAGTAAAAGTGAGTCAGTCTCCCATCAACAGTGTTCAGTAAAGATGGAAATTCCCACTCACTGTCTTTTCCAGTTGGTGGCCACAGCTAGTAGTTGAAGCATCTTCCCCCCATTTAATGGTTAAGGATTCACACATTTATGTATTTATTTATTTATCTTTATTTGTTGTGAATCGTTACCCAAGGATATTTTTCCATTGACTTTTAGATAGAGTAGAAGTGGGAGAGAGAGAGAGAGAGAGAGAGAAACATTGATGTGAGAGGGACATATCAATTGGTTGTCTCCCCACAACCCCAACCAGGGCCAGGGATCGAACCTGCAACCCAGGTATGTGCCCTTGACGAGGAATTGAACCTGAGAGAGACCTTTGGGTCCTTGGGCCAACGCTCTAACCATGGAGCCAAATTGGCCAAGGCAAGGATTCACACATTTAAGTATTTAAGTTTTTCTTTTTTATAAACAAGATATTTATAATAATTTCTAAAAATAAAAATGTTTAAATAAAAATAATTTTTTATTTACAGTTTCTAAGCTAGGTAATGTGTGCAGGTGGCACCAGAGGCTGTCCAGTGGAAGAGGTGCTGGCTCTGGGGGTGCCCATGCTATGTCCCCTCTGAGCTACTGGGCACATGCTCGTCCACCTGTCTTCTTGTTCAGGTTTCTACACCCATGTCACTGGCAGCTCTTAGTGGGATTGAGGCTCTGGCCCAGGAGAGAGTACCTGGCTGCCTTCTACAGAGGGCAAGGTGACATCTGAGCCCTCAGTCTGGGGAAGCTGGCTGGTGCCACCTGGATGCGGGAGTCCTCAGGGTGAGGCTGCCTGTGGCTCTGCAGCAGCCCAAGCTGTCCCCCAGTACAAAGCCAGGACCACGGCCCCTCCTGTGCTGTGCAGGGCAGCCCCGGGCCCCACCCGCCTTGGCACCTGCTAGTGAGATGTCCTTCCGTCTCATGCCCAGGCTCTGAGGGCCGTTGTCTCCTGTGGGCCATCCTGGACAGGAGCCCCATAAGTCATGTCTCTGGCTTTTTGTGTTTTAGCTGAGAGATATATTCAGCCCCTGTTGGAGTATTTTCTGTTCCAGATCATGGTCTTTGTGATTGGGTTTCAGTTTCTTTAGGCCAAGAGAACGAATTGAAGAGGCGGGGGTGCACTCAGCTCCTCAGTGGAAATCTCCCATCTCTCCTTTTCCCCACTTGTTCCTCACAAGTTGTCTGTACCCTCTACCTGGATGAGCTGGTTATTCCCTCTGCATGTCTCCCATTCATGCCACTCTTTGAGTGTTTGAGTCCCCATCTTTATCATGGAGCCCGCGGGTGGAAACGGAGCCAACAGGCCAGTTACTCTACTTTCTGCACGTTTCCTGTCCTCTGTGTGGTTGCAGGAGACGCCCACGGGTGGCCCTGTGGAAGCCTGGCATGTTGCTTCTGTGGTTCCTGATTGGTCTGTTCCTCTCATCCTGGAGCCAATTGAAAGCTGCTTGCCTGCTCGGACCCTCCTACCCTGTTGGGGACAGTCAGGGCCCTTTAGAGGTCTGCTGGCTCACCTTTACCTGCCACAGCTGGTGGATTGCTACTTGTCACACCGTGGAGGTTTTTCCCAGATGTTTTCATCACTAGGGGTGTGCCCTCAGCACAGTGTCCCCTCCCCCTTAAGATGAGCTCTGGGAACCTGTGCCAGCAGGGAATGCCCACTTCTGCATCTGCTAAGTGTCCCGGCCTTTTAATGGAAAACCCCCAAGGTTCTGTGGCACCAGGCTGTGGACACAGCCACCATATGGTCTTGCAAATAATCAGTAGTCTTAGGTGAGCTAACTGGAGAGGGAGGTGACTTCTGTGATGAGAGCAAACAGCACCCCCACCTCTTCTGCTGCCTCCCTGGCAGGGCCTGCCCATGACCACCATGCTGGCAGGTTTCTGCTGACATTTTGCTGTGTGCTCCCAGCTGTCACAACTGGGCATGTGCCCTACTAGGAATCGGATTGGTACACGGGTCTATGCTCAACCACTGAGCCACACACTGAGCTCCTAGAACTCCCTTTTAGCCCCCTTTCCCCCTAAAACTCAGGTTACTTACCAGTCAGAAGTTCCTTTCCTCTTTTCTTGGGTGGGAACAGCTGTGAGTTTTACCTGGCAGCCCATGTCCTCCCCAGGTGTGGGGTTGGGAAACGCATGTCATCCTGACATTAGGCTTCTGAGCTCACTCACCTAGCTGTTGGCAGGAGGAGCTCAGTGGGGAAGAGTGCAGTGTACTTGGCTGCATATGGGTGTGAATGAAGACGGGAGTGAGTGATGGTGGACACAGCCTGGCAGGGTGGGGTCAGTGCTGGCCACAACCCCTTCCTCTCACGGTAGACCCAGACCTTTGCTTTACTGTGTGTAGTTGGATGGGGACTCCTTGCTCCTCTGCTGTGGTGACGTCATTATCCTGTGTCTTTTCTACTCTGAGCATCCTTCCTGTCTCTGGCCCTCTCAGGGCTGACAGCGCCCTTTGTCACCCTGTTGAACTGAGTCCCTGTCTACCAGGCAAATTACCTGGTCTCCTGGCCACACTTTCCAGCCCTGCCCCTCACACGTCTGACAGCACGTCCATGTCTTCTAGCCTGCTGCCCGGAGCCCATGCAGCTGGCTGCAACCAGGTCACTGAAGGAGGCCACACTCACCCCCGTGTCTCCCATGTCTGCCTCCGTTCTCTCCCTGACTGTCCACTGACCACCCACACCCCCTCCTGTCTCTGCCCTCGTGCTGTGGCTTGACTACTGGTTTTAGCCCCCCCCACCACGCTCACCCCTTTGCCCAGGGCCTCACTCCTGAACCCCAGGCAGCACTGAGGTGTTAGCAGACCTTTCCCATCTCAGCAGAAACGCCCTCTGGTGTGTTGCCTGCTCGGTTACTCGTGCCAAGTGGGTTTGTGCTGAAGCCGTTTCTTCCCTTTTCTGCTTGTTTAGACCCACTTTTGCTACCTGTGTTTGGTTTGGTCCTTTCTATTTATATGGGGCCTTTTTCTGTTTTGTTTTCTTAGTCTTTTGTAAAAAAGTTCTCATTTTCACTAGTTCAGTTTGCTTGCCACAATCGAGAGACCTAGTAATGTTTCAGCCTAATGCGTAGCATTTTCCAGATAATCTAAGGAGTCCTGCCCATGCTGTCTGTGCACAGAGTTCTGTGGACCTCGGGGAGTGGTACATGGGGACCCCTGCCATCTCTGGGCTCCTTCACCCATAGCCTTTCCTCAGTCCTTGGCCTGGGGTGGTTGTGTCCAGAGCCCTGCTTCCCTTGGGGCCTGCCTGTGGCACCTGAGCAGCCCACATGGGCAGGTTCAGGGAGCAATGCCAGGTAGTGCCTGAACCCATCTTGCACCCCCACCTCCTTGTGTGTGCACCTGAGAACCCAGGGTCTTGGACGCTGGCGGCCAGGGCTGGGTGGGGCGCAGCAACCTTCTTTCTGCACTTGGCATCCTTTTTTGTTTATGTTTTAGTGGGCTTGTTCTTTTTTTTTTGACGCACTGCCCCCTGGTGGCTGCCGCCTGCCCTGCAGCTTCAGGTCTTGGGGATGAGGAAGCGGTGCCCCAGGAGGGCTGCGCATCCAGTGTTTATGGGAGTCACTGATGCACGCAGGACAGGGGATGTTCTGCTGTCTCCTGCCAAGACCCCTGGCCACACCTGGAGGAGCACTGGGTGGCTGGTGGTGTAGGCAGCTGTGAGCAGTGGCCCACTGGGTGCTTGTGGAGACTCACAGACAGCCCAGCCCAGGACATGGGGCAGGTGTGCCTGCTGGTGGCTTCATGGGCAAGGATGTCAGAGAGCTTTGGGCCCTAGGCAGAGGCAGGAGTTCGGGGCTCGCCCTCTGCACCCCCACCCTCCAGGCCTTGCTGACCCATTTTGAGCTCCCGCAGTATAGGGAACAGGGGCAGGGGGAGACATGGAAACTAAATCCTGCGTTGTTCCTGGCCTGGAAAAAAACTTAGCCTTCCACCTCCTTACGCTGAGGGGAAAAACAGGCGAGAGGAAGAGCTGCCTTGCAGGCCTTTGGCTCCTGCCTGGGTGGGGGCGGGGGCAGGGGAGTGGGCTCTGGGCTGGTTGGCGGTGCTGTGCTCAGGGGTTCCTGCTCCTGAGCACTTTACTGCCCCCAGGGGTGAGCAGTGGGCTGTTTTCCCCATCACCCTGGTTCCGGTGCACCCGATCCCCCCACCCTGTGACTGGAATCTGTTTTCCAGGTTGAGGTGTGAAAGCGCAGCAACACCCACTCACTGACCTGGTGAATGGGGTCAGCCTGGGGCCGGGGATGTGGTGGGTGGGGCGGGTGCCTGGGGCTGAGTCCCCAGCATTCTCAGGGTCTGGGACCTCTTGGCTCGCTGAGCTGGATGTGACTCTCAGGCCTCAGGGTGAGGGTCTTGCCCTTGGATTGGGCCCGCTGTGGCCCCTGTGACGGGGCTGACGGCATTCCGCACACCTTCCCCAGCTGGGACTCCCTAACCTTGGCCTTGTTTCCCGGCCCCAGGCTGGCACTGGGCCCCTCGGGGCTGGTTGTGGGTTGTTGGGCCGGGATCCCTGCAGCCAGTTTTTTCATTAAGGGGCACAGGAGGGCTGGTGGTTTGCTGACTGCCTCTTTTCTGGTCTTGCACCAGATCTTGGCCCCTCCCTGGTCCTCTCCCAGAGCTTGAACACTGTGATAGGTTTGGCATCTGGGGTGGGCTTGTCCTCTCCCAAGACACCCACTTAGACCTGGGTGTCCCTGGTCTTGTCCTGAGGCCTGGGGTCAATCTGGAGCTTCTCAGAGATTGGGGGTGACGGGAACCTTGGCCTCAGAGTCAACAGGAGGGACAGTTTGTCCTTGTCACACCCCCACCACCCAGGAGGGGCCTGGGATCTGCCCAAGTTCAAAGGGCATTGTTGTCTTGACTTAAGCACTTTCTCCTGTTTCCACAGGCCGGCAGGACCCCTTCCACTTCCCTGAGGACAGAGGCGACGAGCACGCAGGGCAACCATGAGTACGCAGAGGACAGTTCCGATGAGGAGGTAGGGCGGGCGCTGGCTGGGCAGAGGGGAGTCAGCCTCAGTGCGGCCTGAGTGGGCGTTCTGGCCCTCGGCCCCACTCCCAGTCTGGAAGAGCGATTTTGGGGTCTGGGACTCATGACTGCAGGAGTGTGTGTGTCATCGCTGGGGGCGGGGGGGGGGAGCGCAGTGGCCCAGGGCCACATCTTGACCCTGTGGGGGCTGGCACGCTGGGACCCCACGTACTCTGTGGGGCTGTGCTCACACTCTGGGTGGGCTTTCCCATCACCAGCCAGCCTGTGTCGGTCCCCTGGGCGACAAGCTTGGGTGCCACCCCACTGGGTGTCAAGGGCAGCAGCACTGTAACTTCCTGCAGAATGCTGATGTCCCGGGTACTCTGCCCCTGCCCTGCCCTGTGTCCTCGAGGTGCAGACGATCGAGGCCCCTGAATCTGGTTGCTCTCCTCAAGTTCATGGTTTGAAGGGAAATTCGGGAACAGTGTGATGTTGGGCCAGGGGTTCTCAGTCTGGTGTCCAGAGGCCTGGTGGGTGGGTGGGCGGAGGCTTCGGGTCAGCTGCCTGCCGTGACTCGGGAGGGCTGGGGCTAAGGAACTCCGAGCCCTGAGGCGGCCTGGTGCTCGTCCACCTGTCCCCTCTGGTGTCTCTGGGTCAGGTGTGGCCAGGAGGCTGGGGGACCAGGTCCTTGGCCTCAGGAGCGCTTCCTGCTTCCTGTCAGGGGCGGCTGGACCTGGGGAGGGCGGCCCCCCCGCTTGCTTCCACCCCCATCCTAGGCTCTGCTGGCAGCGGCTGCAGGAGCCTTGGCTGTCCGCCCGATCCGGTCTCTGTGCGTTCAGAGAACAGAGACAAAACAAAATAAATTGGTTTCCTGGCCGGAGCAGCGGGCGCACTCGGTGAAGGGGGGCCGTTCAGCGCAGCTCCCTGCCTGTCTCCCCTCCCTGGGGCTCTGGCTGTCGGCAGCCACATCCTGTCGGCTACTTTTTTATATTTGGTATTTTGAGAAATCGATGATGATTGTAAATGGAGTGCAGGCCGGGGGAGGGGCCTTTCACCTGGGGGAGGGGGGTGCTCCTGTCCCGGAGCCACTGCGGGGGCTGCGGGCGCTTCCTCTGAGATGAGTATCCCATATGTCGGTTGAGTGACAGGAGGGAGCCCCGTGCTGCCTGCCCCTCTGCTGCCAGCACGGGCCGGCGTAGCTGGAGGGGGTGGCGGTGGTTGGCGGGGCAGCAGAGCCCAGCTTTCAGGAGCCTAGGAAAGATGTCCCCCCTTTCAGAAATGTCTGCCCCTTGGATGCTTGAGGGGCCCATGTCTCCCACCCTGAGGTTGTGGCTGTGTCTCCAGCATCGGAACAAAGTGGGGTGGGCTTTGGGGAAGAGGCCAGAGAGGCTGGGGCATATGCGGTGCGGTGTGCCGCCGAGGTGCCCCAGAGAGTTGGGGTGCGGAGCCTGGCACCCCGTGTGGCTGTGCTGGCTGGTTGGTGCCTGTGAGACCAAGATCTGTGAGCAGCGCTGTAGCTAAGACAGCCCTGGTGGTGCCGAGACCCCTCTCAGCAGTGGGGGTCCTGCCGGGTGTGTGCTCCCAGGAGAGAGGACCTCGATGTCGGCCCGCCTACCCCATCCTTTGGGCTTGGTCTACCTACCCCCTGGGTCTAGCTCTGAGGTGGGGGCTCTGGGCCCCCTGGCGATGGCCTCTGCTGGGCCTAGCGTTGGGAACCCCCTCCCCCCATAAGACACTACCCTCCTGCTGCTGTCTGCCTTCATGGGAGACCCTTAGTCTTAGTACGCTCATCCTGTCCTTTTTCCTAAGTTCATATCCCCAGCTGCACTGGGCAAAGCCCCCTGGATGTGCTGGGGTCCAGGCAGGGTCCCGGCCTTGTGGGGGGGGCTTGAGGAGCCCGTGAGCTTCATCTGCCCCGCCCCCACATGTCCACCTCGCCCCTCTCCAGGGTACCCGCACCTCACAGACGTGATCTCATCCAGCCGCCAAGACCCAGGGGGTGGGGGAGGGGCCCGGGAGGGGGCTGGCGGCCTTGCAGCAGCTGCCCCTCCTCTTTGTCTCAAGTGGCTGGAGAAACTGAGGACCTCGGTGGGTGGAGGAGGAGTCTGTGGCTGCGTGCCTAGGAGCGTGGTCAGGGTGAGGGGTTCAAGGCTGTCGTGACCTCTAGCCGGAAAGGCTGGGAGGACCCTGGGCCCACACCCTCTGGTCACCACCCGGGTCTGGATGGGGGCAGGGCTGCAGCGCCGGCGGGCTCCTTGGCCCCCCTCGGCTTCGAGGTAACTCGGATCCCGCAGGGACAGCCGAGCCTGTCTGCATCCAGAACCCGCGATCCCCTCTGCTCTCTCGCCAAACGCCGTTAATGGCTTCTCCGAGCTACTGAACCGGCAGCTGCCTCCAGTGCTGGCGGCCTCCCGCTCCTCCCGGCGCCCACCCCGCCTGGCCGAGCGCTCAGAGCGCTTGCGTCGTTGCTGGCAGCCGGAGCGGTCGGCTCAGGTTTCTGAGCTGTTTGTGGGACGCCCGGCGCTGAGCCTGCTAGTGTCTCAGCCTCGCAGACCGCCCCACGCCCCGGCCTCCCTGGCGGCCTTCCACCCTACAGCCAGCCTCCGATGGGGCCACTGGCCAGGACCTGGGCCTGGTCCCTGCCTCTCCTGGGAGGGGCACTGTCCTGCACTGCTGACCCACAGCCTTGCAGGTGGCTGGAGGGCTAGGTGGGCGTGATGGCTGTGACCGCAGCCCCTGAGGCCTTTGCCCGGCTCCAGCTTTGAGCCAGGCCAGGTGCTTGGGTGGGGCTCTGCCCTGTGGGGCCCAGTGCCTCCCAGGAGCCACCCGAGTTGAAGGATGGGGGTCAGTGAGAAGGGATGGGGAGGTGGGGGGTGAATGTCCTTGCCCCTTAGGAGGTGTGCAGTGAGCATCCTGGAATCCAGCAGGGTTGGGCCCTGGGGTGGTGCAGCAGCAGGTGAAGGGCTTCAGAGCCCCAGCCTACTGTGTGCCCACTGGGAGCCACTTTCCGTGGCAGCAGGAGCCTAGGCGGGTGAGAGGGTGCTGGGCAGGGGCCTCCTTCAAGAGGAGGGTTTGCTCTGGGGCTGGAGGTGTGTGCTGGGAGGCAGGCTCAGTGGGGAAAGCTGGGCAGGGGTGCTGGCTGCAGCACAGGGGTGGCTGAGGGCTGTGCTTGGGGCTGAGGGAGAGTCCTCCAGAAAGAGGTGGGGGCTGGGAGATGGTGTGTAGCTCCCAGGACCAGCCCAGCTTGAGGCAGCAGCGGTCTCTGAAAGTGTGGCTCAGAACAGGCCCTTGGCACTCAGCAGGGAGCCTGAGCCCGACCCACCTGGGAACACCCCCTGGACCCTGCTCAGCCCCAGAAGAGGGGGCAAGCGGTTGGGGCTTGGTTATCTGAGGACCTGGGAGGGGTGGCCTCTTTGCCTTCTCCCTGCCCTATGGTGGGCAGACTTGCTTCCCCAACAGCCATGCAGGTGCTGGTAGGGGCCGTGCAGGGAGCTTGGAGGGGCTCTGTGCCCACAAGTGTCTGACAGCTCAGGGCAGGCCCAGCCAGCATGACCTGGGAGAGACAGACAGATGGAGTTTGGGGCATCTGGCTGGTCTTGCAGAGCTGCTCTGCTACCAGAGTCCAAACATCATGGGGCATCCACCGGAGGAAGTTGGGAAGGGTGCTCTGAGCTCCCTGCCTGGCGCCCCCAGGCCAGTGGGTTCTAGCCATTGGACTTTGTCTGCTTCTGACCCACCCAATGCCAGGGTCCCTCCACTGGCTTTGGCCTTTGGGGCAGGGCTTGGCTTTCTCCCCTTTGGTCTAAATACCAGGACTCATCTGCTGGAACCTTTGTAGGTTCAGCTGCAGCAGGTGAGCTGGGCACTGACAGAGATTAGACACCTCGGAGGAGGAGCCGGGAGGGATAGAGGCGCAGGAAGGCAGAGGCGCTCCAAGACAGGCGGGAGCTTCGTGCAGGGGAGCTGAGCGAACACTGCCGGCATTGTAATCGGAGAGGGGCAAGGGAAAAGAGCGAGCCGGAGCGAGGGCGGCTGACCCCGTGCTCCCGGGGGACAGGTGGAGAGGGAATGAGGAGCGAGTGAAGGATTCCAGAGGTGGGCCGGCTTCCTCCCTCGCAGACAGACCGGGAGGGAGGTGGCAGCGGGCCAGGCCGTACCTGCAGTTCCAATCTGCGGTCCTGACAGCTGCAGCCACTTTGGGGAGGGGGAGGGGCAGGCTCATCGAGCGGAACCGTCGCAGCCGCACGTCAGCCAGTGGCTGCAGTGTCCGGTGCAGTTGGGGTGGGTACCCTCCCGGTGTGTCCAACGGACCGGTCCTGGGGCAGAGCAGCCCCAGGAGAGCTGGGCTGGGCTGTCCCTGCCCTCAGCCTGGGCTCCCAGCACAGTGCCTGACCTGGAGGGGTTGGCGGCGCTCACCCCACGGGGTCACATGTGCTTCCTGGCAGCCGCAGGTGCTGAGCAGGGTGGGGGCCGGCTGGCCTGCGGGCGCAGGCGGCCTGGTGATGAATCATGTGGTGCCGCCAGCAGCTCGTTCCCCAGGCCGGGGACAGGGAGCTGACAGCCGAGGCCGATCGGAGTGTTTCCAGCCGAGCTTGGCCCAAAGAGGCAGAGGCGGCTGCTGGCCCCAGTGTGGGCTGGCCCCCTCCTTTCCAGATGCCTGTGGGGCACACACAGAAAGCCCTGGGTCTTTGTCCCTGGGCAGGGTGTGCTGGAGGGAAGGAAGCTGGGCTGTGGTGGGCGGGGAGCACCTGCCACCCCAGGCCCAGGCCCAGGCCCAATGGCTGTGAGCAGCCGAGTGGACTTGAGTGGACTTGCGTGGGGCCGCCCCAGCCACCCCCAGTCTGGTTTGAATTTCTGGAGCAGTGGAGGGTGACGGAGTGCTCCTCCCCACCCCCTCCCCCCTCCCCTGCTGGCTGGCGATCCAGGCCTTTGCTGCTGCTGCTACTGGTGCAGCTCAGGGAGCAGCCGGGCGGGCCCACTGCCCAGGCCTGAGGCCAGCCAAGCTGCAGC